GCATGTTGATTGCATAACAAAACAAATGTAACTAAATAATTCGCAGATGAACACTTTAGGAATTACACAGCTTCCTTTTCACAGCCTTCCCTCCCCCCCCCCCCACCCCCAGGGCATTGCTTGGGGTTGAGGGTGGGGTGTGACCACTCACCAATAACTTAACTTCGTCAGAAAATTATTGTCACATCGGCAAACATCATGTGTTTGCAAGCTACAGTGAATAATATTAGCCCTATCCATTGTCCTCTGATTGAAGTGCATCATTAGTTAATGATGTCCAGTCATCCCCACCCAGCTAGGCCCAGCCCCTTCCCTTGCCACCTAATTCAGATTTTGATTGCTGTATATATTTGTCCAAATAGATATCAATTTGCAAGTGAACCTGTCAAAATTTACACCAGCAGCCGTCTCCCAGCCCCCCCCCCACCACCCCTCTTCCTTCTCCACCTCCCCCTCCGCCCCCACCCCTTATGAATAGGGCTTATGAATTGGGCTTTCATACTATCCTAGATTTTGAAAGTGCTGCAGGCAAAACTTCATTCAAGAATTGGTCCTGCCATTTGGGATGCATTGTTTCACTCACCCTGTAGTTCCTTTCTGTAATAAAGTAACTGCTGAAGATTACCAAATTTTGGAAAAACAAGCATACATTGTACTATCGTGTGGACCAACTATTGTTAAACACAATGTCAGTGAGTGGAATGGTGTGGTTTTGTCTGACTCCATGTTGCAATGTTACCGGTACTTTCAAAAATAGTATTGTAATAAGGGGGTTTTGCTCTAACGCACTATTGTCCTCAAATTTCGTCCTAATCTTGATAGGTTTATTTATTACTGGCTAGTTGTTTAGGTCACAGCCTCGACTCCATGGGCGTGTGCGCGTTCCTTGGCTAACCCCTGGCCATGAGGAATACATAAACAGCGTTAACCGGCTATTCAGAGCGTACTGCGTGTGTATATTTCAAAAACCTTCCACAATGTTAACCACTGCATCGACTGCAGTCCTAATTTAAATGCGCGACTATTTTGCATATTTAAAGATGCGTTCTAGAGTGTTACTCTTGCTACTCCCGAGTGCAGTAAAATGTTGCGTTCGCTTTACTCTCGGTGCAGGAATATATTCCCGGTATGACAGAGAGCATACTCTTGCCAACCTCGTTCCCATGGGTACTAGATCTTGCTGTGCCATGTTGTTTCCCATCATGCCTTGCGCGATTCTAACCCCTGGAATTGTCTAATTTAAATGTGTAAAAATATGGCACATTATAATTAGGCTTCAGTTTATCCGTTTTACGTGCCGACGCCATCTTTAAAGTGTTTAAAGTTGTGTTTTTGAAGAATCAATCGTTTCAAACATGAGGTTTGGACGTCGCGTTATTTAGCAAAAATTTGTATTAAATGTACGTACCCCTTTCATCCCTTTACTACCGAAGATACAGGGTTTTTTTTTTAGCGAAAAACGAGGCTGCCATTATCCGTATCGTACAGGCATCGCGAGTTTTGCATAATAACAAATCTTTTTCGTACGTGACGTGACATGCAAAGCACGCAAGCCCATTATGGGCATGCTGGGCATGCAATCTTCAAAATGCATGCGCAGTACGCTCTGAATAGCCAGTCAGCATCATTTACATGTACATCACGGCCAGGGGTTGGTGAAGGAACGTGCATGTGCCCATGGAGTTGAGGCTGTAACCCGCGGGTCATACTCCTGCCGTTAGTGCGCTCTGGTGTATACTCATGTTGACACGAGTAGCTCCCTCGAATGCACCCTGGATTACACAATTCCATGGGTTAAGATCGCGAAATGCATGATGGGAACCAACATGGCGCAGCAAGATGATTAGATTGTACCCATGGAAAGGAGGTTGTTAAGGCCATACAGAGAGACAATCTAAATCTGGCACAATAAACTTCAAGAAGGATCAACTATTTAGAAGTTGTAACAAAAGAGCCCAGGAATTGATTTAGTAATCAATGCAGCTACCGGTACATGTATGCAACTAGAAATAATTTGGGCCTTCCATTAATTTGTACTAAATCTGGCATGATGTTGGCTTTTCCTTAGTTTTAGGTCATACTGTGTGTGTAGTGAGGGGGCGGGGTATCACTGTACTGTACATTTGTCCTATTTCTTTCGATTTGGTTCAAAGATAAAATCTTGAAGTACTTTGATTATTTCTGTAGTGTATTTATTCCCGGCATCTTTCGAATTTGAAGAAAAACTGACACATTACACACAAAATTACAGCTAATGACACTTTACAAAGAGATATATGCAATCAATGATCCAACTTGTCAGGGTGTGTGATTTCTGTGTGAAATTCGTGTGATTTCTTGTAGTTTCCTCAAAGATTTTGAGCTTGCGAGACCAAGATACGAGTCACAGAGGCATGTCGCGAGCAGCTAGTTAACCCATCTGTGCACATACCTAATATGGTACAGGAACGTTAGTTGGAAAAATTGGTCGTGGCTTGGCTCTGACTAATATGTATACGGTCACATGCTTGCCTAAAATGGACTAGTACATTTATCAAACAACTGCCCTGGAATCGCTCCATTTTATTTCTTAAAGAGAAGATAAAAAATGATATTTTTATCAACGGACTCTTAAAGTTGGCTCCATGCAGGTAATTAAGTGTAATTACTGGATGTGAAGAGTGTCAAAGGGATGGTTTCAAGTGTTTTGTTTGTTTACTTTTTGTCTGGCTGGTCCAAATTAAGTATGAATTTAGTGATATGATTTTTTAATTATGTTTATTGTGGGTGTATACTTGGACTGATATCAGTACCGATAGTTGACAGAATACAGACCACCTACAACGGCAGCGAGACGGAGGGTGATAATTACAGACGGTTGCAATGTCGTTGCTGAGTGGTGTTTGCTTACATTGCATCAGTGATGTGAATCTCATCACTACACTTACTGCAGGCACTCATTGATGGAATGACAAGATTGGATATTTGCTCATCACTACGTGCATTTGACGGTATTTGTGTCCTCAAAGTCAAAGGATAGAAGTGGGGCAGGGGTGGGGTTGAATCCTCCAACACTCAGGGTTGGTGAGGTGGGTGTGGCTGTCCATAGTTCATACATGTATTGGCACGATTAGGGTCCCTTCTTAACAGTTTCTTATTAAATATCCCATCAGCAAATAATGAGTATGGACATTCAGACTCTGATACGGAGCAGGGGGGGGGGGGGGGAGGGGAATGAGGAGAGGGAAAACATGGGCGGGGCATGCCCCTCCCTCCACACACTGGTGTTCTGGATGTTTAAACAAGGTGCACAAGAACGGAGGTTGCCAAAATAGGGTTTAAGTTCCTTCCCACACAAAGTTAACTGTTATGTCTTTATATCCAAACAGTAATGGACGTGTGAACTCCTTCACTGCCACAGTCGGCTACAGAGTAACGCCTTTCATGAGTTAAAGGTGAGTGAACTAATTGACCTACATGTATTAGACATAATGAAGTCACGCTTTGTTTACATGTGTGCTTTCCTATGGGAGCTTGGTGGCTCTCTTGCCCACCTGGCTCCCATAGGAAAGCACACATGTAAACAAAGCATGACGTTCATAGGTCTATTAATGACTGCAATATTTGCCTTTCTGCTGATAAGGAATGTACACCTTTGTGACTGAATGATGTGGTTCGTAAAATAAACTGCATTTCCAATTTCAACTTTTAAGCTCCAAGATGCTCAAATCCAAAACTTCTTTTTATTTATTATTATTATCATTATTCTGGTTTATTAAAAATTTGAAACAGGCAGCCAGAAGGCTGACATTGCACAATTACATGGAGTGAAAAGGATAAATTCAAACAATTAGACCATACATTAATAAAAACAAACAAACAAATACACTTTTAAAGTGTGTTTCAACTCCCTACCCCCTGATGCTATATCACTGAGTATATTGTTTATAGCTGACAAACCAACTGTCTGAACAACTGACAGACTGACCGACTGACCAACTGACAGAGGGACCAACCGATTGACGGACCAACCGACAGAGGGACCAATCGATCAACTGATTGACCGATCAATCGACGGAGTGACCAACCGATCGACTGACCTACTGACTGAACGACCAACTGACGGAGTGACCAACTGACGGACTGAAATATACAGGGTGTTTCAATAAAAAGGAAACCCAACTTTGAAGAACCAGTATGGACAGACTAAATGTTTACTGGCTATAAAACTGTTATCATCTGAAAGTGTAATTTCTATGCTTTTCAATGATACCTTGTTTACATTTCCAGGGTCATGCATCACTGAGCGCCACTGTCATGAGATTTTGATGCAAAATTGCAGTTGGTTCACTTTTATGTCAAAAAACTTTATTCCTGAAGAAGACACGAGTGCATAAAAAAACCCAAAAAAAGTCGGGTTGGTTTCAAAATTGGATTTCATTGTTTGTCATGAATTTCTCGTTTTGACTAAACCACGCTCAAAACAATGTGCCATTTCCCCCAGGATTAACATTCAAGCCATTTCACAGACATATTCGTAACAATAGGCACACCGTGCCCAGTGTTTTTTTTTTTATGAAAGTGAACCAACTGCATTTTTGCATCCAGTTTTCCAGACAATGATAGAGATTACGCTTTCAGATGATACCAGTTTTATAGCCAGTAAACATAGCGTCTGTCCAGACTCATTCTTTGAAGTTGGGTTTCCTTATTTTTTAAACACCCTGTATAACAGTCAAGCAACTTGTCCTCGGATCTGCTGATTTCCTTGTTTTTTGCTTCTCATGAATACCATTACAAATTGCAAAACACTGTACCAAGTCTTGTGTGGTTTGGAAATCCCTGGTTTTTTAAATTCCCAGTTGCATGCCTGATATAATGACCAACCGGTCGACCAACGGACCGATGGACTGATTGACTGACCAACAGCATCCATTTTGTGATTTTACCTGATTGTACTTTGCACTCACAGGATTATACCAGGGTTGGACAACCGAAGCTGTCTGCAAGTAAACTGTGCCCACATCAATGGCAGAACCACCGGATACGAGAGCCCGAAGACGAAATGAGACACAAGCTAACCCTGGTCCAAGCACAGCACCAGCCAGTCAGGCAGCTGCAACCCAACAACTACCAGCTGATGGAGTGAGGGATGATCAACAAACAACTCAGTCCGGCAGCCGACAGCCTTCCCAGCAGGAACCAATGCCACAACCACCGCCACAACTACAGCCAAGACCGGGTGAGACACAAACTAACCCTGGTCCAAGCACAGCTGTGACCCAACAACTACCGGCTGATGGAGTGAGGGATGATCAACAAACAACTCAGTCCGGCAGCGGACAGCCTTCCCAGCAGGAACCAACGCCACAACCACCACCACAACTACAACCAAGACCAGGTGAGACACAAACTAACCCTGGTCCAAGCACAGCTGCAACCCAACAACTACCGGCTGATGGAGTGAGGGATGATCAACAAACGACTCAGTCTTGCAACAGACAGCCTTCCCAGCAGGAACCAACGCCACAACCACCACAACCAAGACCGGGTGAGACACAAACATTTGTCTGTCAACCCTGCATGTTATGACTCCCCTGGCCCTGATATCGGTTCCCTGACAGCATCCTTCCCCTCCATCCTTTGCATTGACGCTATTAGGCACAGTATATATAGTGTAGCAGAGTCCCTGAAACAAGGGGGACCACACTGCAGACTAGCCCCTGTCACCCCATGGCGAATTTTACTTACTATCTGGATGAAAAGTGAATTTTTCCGTTCAATTCCGAGAACTCTCCTTGCATTCGCGTACACGTTGATTCGTTTGACTGGCAAGGCAGAGACGAGGGGAGCTCTCAGGATTGAATAGGAAATGTCACTGTTCATCAAGATCGTTAGTAAACCTTTCTTTGATCTTGACACGACACACATGCGCGTGCTGTAGTTATAATTCGTCGGTTTAGTGCGTGTCATCGCATGGCTGCAATGGGCTAAATGAGAATGCTGAATTTGGGCATAATTCAAAACATGACTCAGCAACTTTTGATTTGAAATCGAGATCCTAGAATATTGTTTAACTCGGAATATACAGCATTCACTGAGCTGAAACTTCATCAGGTTAGTTGTTCAGCACCCTCTTTAGATTTCGAGCACTTTTGTTGCTTCAAACTTCAAACGAACATAATGCACAAATTACAAATGATGGACTGTACCTTGAACAGCAGCCATCCCCCAACACAGTCATTGTCACGCAGTGAAGACCGGGTCCTCACACTGTTATTCCCTAAATTTTGAATTGAATTAAATTGAAGGATATTTTAATTCTTGCTTTTAATTGTAGATTACCCACAACGAAGTGGAGCCAGCATAGGAAGCATCGGCGCAATCAGCGGTAGCCAGAACCCTATCATTGTTAGTTCAAGTGGAGTTAATATCACTTATCACAACATGCCGTTGGAGGGACCAGGTAAATATAATCTTGTTCAATACGATAAAGTATTTTGATATCTTAAATCAAGTGTTAATGTATTGGGGGGGGGGGGGGAGCGGGCAGGGGAAGGATGGTGTACTGTTTTAGTAATATTATATGTTGAACATGGTTCCATGACTTATTTACAATGTAGCTGTTCTTGTAGTTCTCGAGATGTACATGTATGTACATGTAGGACTTTAAAATATGCACCTTAATAGGGGAAGAGATCAAAACATTTTTCAAAGTAAATTTTCTTTGGGTATTCCTTGTTGTGTCATTACATGCCAGTAAGCCAACGAGCTTCTCAAAAATGTTTTCACTGACCGAATAATGGGTGCCTAATTGAACAGAAAACCCCTAAACTGAACAGTGTCTTCCTGGAATGACATCACAGCAACAGCGCCCTCAGTTGTCCAGAAAAGCATGGAATGTTTTAAGTGTTTAAAGTAGTGCACTTTTCAATCAAATTTATATAATAGGGATGTCAAATAGTTTTCATACATTTAAGGGAGTAGAAAGTTGCACAAATAGTGTGCCTAAGAAATAAGAAAAAATCACCACATAGACCCTTTAAAAACGAAATCTGGATACGTAAATTTAAATCCCAGGCAAAATTTCTCAGTGTACATTTTACTGCATGTAATTGGAAACTTCAACCAATCGAACATGTTACGAAATACAGGTAAAAAAATAAACCTCTTAACAGAAGAAAAATAATAGGTCGAAAACTGGGCATGCAGATTGTTCGGTTTGATGAATTGCAGCTTGAAAGAATTGTTACAATGAATCATGTTCATATATACTTAATAAATAGTTTACTCATACTAATTTTATGATTTCTTTTAGAAATCACCAGTCTCCAGGGGCCAGGTACCTTTGAGGATTTGCAACATGAAATTATCGACAGCTACAAGCAAACTGCAACGACTATTCCTGCACACCCTATACTGGAGACACGTAATGTAGAAATTGATCAATTCTTTATTCCGCTCCGTCTGCAAAAGAACATTCCAGGCAAAACAAAATCAGTGAGGTCGGTGACATTACCAGAAGGAAAATTATTCTTGGATGAAGCACTATATGACATTCTCAATTCCTTGGATGATTTGTTCAATCAGGAAAAAGTTAAGGAAATCAAGATTCTTCTTGTTGGCGGGGCCGGGACGGGTAAATCAACCCTGTTAGTGAAAGTTGCAAACTCCTGCATCACACTTGGTTCAAAACCCCTACTTGGTCGATTCGATCTTGTGATTTGGATAAAGCTGAGACAAATGCAGCAATCTAGCTGTGTCTTGGATGCTATTTTTGACCAAATTCTAGCACAAAACACCAAACTGAGGAGACAAGAAGTGAAAGGGTTCATTGATGATCATGAATCAGGCATTGCTCTGCTGTTGGATGGATTAGATGAAATTCCGTCTCATGTTTTGCAATCTAAGGAGGGCGTGTACAGGGTTCAGGATATCTTACACAACAAAGTCCTTACCAAATGTTTTGTGTTGGTCACTACCCGACCGCATATGGTGGATTATGTATTGGGGGGTCACCCACATTACGCTCGGGTTGAAACATCAGGTTTCACACCACGAGACAGAGATCAGTACATCAGATTAAACTTTCCTGATGATGCTGACATGGGAGAGGCGTTGGTTTCATATCTGGAAGACAATGCAAATATGCAGGAAATGTCTGTAGTTCCAATCATTTCCCAGATGTTGTGCCTTGTTTGGAAGAATCAAAAGTCCTTGCCAGAGAGAATTACTGAGCTGTACAAAGAGTTTGCAGTGGCTCTTTTCAAGCGCCGCAATACAGAAATGAGTGATAAACAGTTAATGTCTAACATGATGTCCATCATTGATGGCTTGGGGCGTGTTGCATTGCAAGGGTTACTAGACTCTAGAGGTGCAAGACTCATGTTCAATGAAACTGAATTTCAGAATTGTCAGTCTTCCTTAGATGAGGGTCTTCGTGTGGGTTTCGTTCAACGTGAAATGTTCACGAGTGGTCTGGATGTAAAATTGTTGGTCACTTTCCCCCACAAGTCCATCCAAGAATATTTCGCAGCATGTCACCTAGTGCAATTGCTTGACAGGTTTTTTTTTGGTAAAAAAAAATTCCGCCGCCAGTTGAAGCAGATTGGAACCCATAATGTTCATGAAATGGAATACCTGCTGAGATTTTGTTGCGGTAGATCAAGGCAGGCAGCTGGTCTCATACTGGATCACATACAAGAGATGCAAGGTGATCAGGAGAAACTGCAGAGATTGGCTCGGTTGCTGCTATCCGAGTCTGGTTCAGAAGAGTTGACAACCAAACTAGTCAGACCAACTTGGGTAAAGTGTGAGAGTAACGAAAACCTGAAATCACTGAGCTACTACTTACAGCATGTCACTCCACCACTTAAAGGTACAGTTTTTAACATGTTTGTAAGAAAGCAGGGGCTTACCCTTTTCAGGGGAGTTCTTCTGAGTGACAGCATGGAGTCAACTAGGGTGATATTTGTTTTGTACTACTTGTCTGAGCAGGAGGGGGAGGAGCTTAGCCTCCTTGAGGAAACACTTGGTGTGGTGGATGAACAGCGCCTTGCTCAATTACGCCTTGTGGTTTACATTGAGGCAAAGTCATGGTTTGTTTCGGGGCGTGTATTACACAGCTGTTTCCGCATGCCGGAACAAATACTCACCCTTGGTTTGGCTATCCGCCAACAATCACCGGATGAGGTTGTTGATCTATTGAAGGCACTGGAAGGATGCAGGTTGCATTTTCTCGCACTTTATGGCACCAACCTGCATACACGGTTGAGAGATGTTAGCCACATCCCGTCATCCCTTACACACTTGCTCCTCCATGCATGCAGGTTGGTAGATGATGATGTGAAGGACCTGATTAGCATCCTTCCTGCTGGGCATGGTTTAGAATCGCTTTACCTTAATGACAATGCACTCAGTTTGGATGCAGTCTGGACTCTCACCCATCATCTCCAAGGTCTCTTTAAGTTACGTGTGTTGGGACTTCATAGCATCGGCCTCGATCCTGAGCTCGTCAGACAAGTTGTCAGTCAAAACCTCCCTCACCTGAAGGAAACACAAGAGGGAATATTCCTCAAGCCTAAATAATCTCCCACCAAGTCATAACTCTCACCCTGTTCCCTATGAATGCACCACGCTCACGAGCCGCATTAAACCGAAACAAGTAGCATGTATCATGGGTCATTTTATGTGAAGGCAATGCTCTGCCCCCCCCCCTCCCCCACAAACACACACAAAAGATTACCAAAAAAACAACAATCAATAACAACAAAAACTTTACTTTCAGAGGACAGTAAGGGGTTCGATTATCAATGAAAAAAGTCAACAAAACGGTTTCAATACAAATAGAGTATTTGGAATCCTCTTACATTATGAATACAAATATACTCAGCATAGTTCTTTATTCTACTGAACCCCCATCCCCCCCCCCCAAAACAATTCCTGTACAAAATGATTAATTGAAATCTTCAAACATAATAGCACTGTACTAAGCATTCTGGGTGTCACTTGAAAGTGATATTAAATTGACCTTGTATCTTGGGTGACCTCTGAGTACTATTATAAATCTACACTCTAATCGTCAATTAAACAGGAGAATCCACCTCTCCTTTCAATTTCTTTTGAAAAAATATCTTGAATCGCATCATCTTAGGTAAAGTTGTGTGAGATGTCTTCAACTTTTGTGACATCAATGTAGTAATATGGCATTCAAACAAACTAATGTGACCACACGCAAATGGCTGCACGACACCCTTCCATAGACCAGTGCTGTGCAAAACTTAGTATACAGAATAATACTCCAAACCTCGGGTACTTTTGAATTGTTTTGCATAAACATGTAAACCCTGAAAAAGAATAGCATTTGCCTCAGCTTTGTACAAATTAGAAAAATCCTGACAAGTTCACGTGCCTCCAAATAGACGTTTCTTTTGAGTGATTGTGCTTCATTCTTTATCAAATTCTTTCTGTAAATTATGCATAAATGATTCCAGTTTGCTAACTTTTGTATAGATCTTTAACCTTGACTGTGTATGTAATATACCTTTAAAGTGGTCCAGTTGTTTAAGGACAGTATAACGTGGATTTCGTTTACTACTCAACTATAGGCCTATGTCCATATTGAGAGTTACTAAACCAGTGTTCATACTGTCAAACAATTTATATATACATGTAGAATGTTGCATTGCCAAATGACACATTTTTGTCAGAGGACAGTCATGTTTGCTCATTCAGGACCAATCGTTGCAATTGTTGTATACGCAAAATGTTTCTGTGATTCTGATTATGTTGAAATAGGTACAAGTGGACAATTTGCTTGTTTTTATCATTGCAAGCCTCTTCAAAGTATTGATTGACACTAGATTTGTTTGTGTTAAGTATGATCAATATTCCGTACAAAAAACTGACATTTTTGTTTCTAACAGTTTTGATATTTTGCAGTTGCCCAGGTGATAACAGTCGTTTATAACATGCCCAAATGCAACCATAAAGGTAAAGGGGACGAACCTGTGTTAACAGGAACGGAGTGACCATCTCTCTTTCATTAGTGGTTGGGCCAGACTCATATGCTGCTGTGGGGCTCCTCCACAGCGAGTCAGTTACCTTCCCAGCATTGAATAATGCCTGTACCCATTTAACACCTGGGTTGAGAGGAGTAATTAAGGTAAAGCGCCTTACTCAAGGGCACAACACGCATGGCCAAGGCGGGGCTCGAACCCACAACCTCACGATCATGAATCCTGTGTTTTCCCGCTAGACAACACGTGCCCACTGTAGTAATATTGCACTTACTATTACTATTCAATTTACTATTACGTTCACATTCAATTTGGTAGAAGTAGTTCTGCAGAAGAGAAAAGGCATACTTTGAACCAATGTTTTGATTTACATGGTATTCACATTCGAGATGTTAACTTAATGTTAATAATATTTAATTCAGGGGTATGAAATCTCAGCTTTAAAGCTGACTTCAGCTTTTTTTGTTTTGGATTTCAGCTTTTTCTCTCACTTGCTGTGTACAAAGGTATAGGAGATTTCCAAAGTTTAGCTTTTTTACACCTTTTTCAGCTGTTTGCAGCTATTTTTATGTTGCTGGCATGACACTTGCAGGAAAATTTTGATTAATATGGAATTTACACACTGTAACTGCAAGGCCGAACTGATTGCAATTTGAAATTTTTGTCTACTCATTAATTTACACGTTTAAAGGTATTCATAAATACCTAAGACAGTTTAGCCATTCCTATCGGTCGAGAGTCCGTCACGTGGCTGGTCTTAAACAGATGATAAAGACACGGCTGGCTGGTCTTAAACACTTTTCCAGTGTCACATGAAATTTGGACTCCCATGAAATCTGGTGCCTTTTAACGTTTCATTGGTTGAATGTTCACATTCCTCACGTAGGCAGGCGCAATACTGCCCGTGAATCAGTATTTCATAGTCCAAAATTCACACTACACCAGCCCAGGTGCGTTTTGCATGACATCCCGCAGTACGCAAAATGCGCACACCAATGTTCTTACAAGGTAAGGAATTGTAGAGGGACATTCCATATTATAGTCAGAGGGGTGTTTGATACAACATGAAGTAAAACTGTTGAACAAAATGGCAATGTCTAGCAATGTCTAGGTTTTGAATTGTTTTGATTTTTGGACGGAAAAGATTTGTTTTTTTGACCGAACAGGTATTTATGAATGGGAATAAATATGTGCTTGGTCGGTATTAAACACTCCGTTTAAGGCTGGTTGTATTCTGAATGGTTGATAATTACCCTCGGCTTTGCCTGGGGTAATTATCACCCATCCAGTCTCCTGCTACAGTCAATTTCATTTCTTTATTTAACTTTAAAATAAAAATTAAAAATCTGATATTTTCACCGCTTGGCAGAAGTAAGTTGATTTGGCTTTGATATGGATATGGATACTGTAGTATAGATTTTATTTTTGAAAGTGTATGTTATTTCTGATCAGTTTGTCTTCTTTAATTTCCCCAGATATTTGGGGCAAAGTTTAAGACGTCAGGGATTACTGTTTGACATTGTGTACTTTGTATGATTATTATCATGTAATAAATCATTGCATGCAATGACTTGAGTCAATCAATGAGAAATCTTTGAGGTTAGATGATTGTTGTGTTATGCCTCCATTCCTCCTTCAGTGATGGACCAATCTCCCGCCTCTGAATTCTACAGCTGGGTCACCACTTGGGTTTTGTAATCAGGCATGCAGGCTTCATAATGAGGATATCAAAAGAAATTCCTTTGAAAATATATCAACACAATCACAAATTTACTTCATGCAATTAAAAAATGATTAGACAGCTAAATCACTGATGGATCAGAAACATTTATTGTTGGGGGATCAAGAAAGGGGTCACCGACAGGCCAGTTGTTGCCAATTGCTTATGCGGAGGGGCGAGGCTAGATCGCATTTATGGGAGGGGTGCAGTGTTTCTTTTCTTTCTTTGTATTATAAAGTGGCAACGGGGATGAATAGACTACAATTTCGTGTTAAAAACAGTCGTCTTCACTTTTCCCTGATGGATTTATCTTAGGCATTTCTGGTGGCCCCCACTTCGGTCTGCAAGAAGACAGCTTCTTTGATTAATTCAAGACAAAGTTCAAATAAGTTGAAATTGTTTTGAATGAATCATCAGCTTTGCGACGTACACCATAGTGACTCTTACATTTGAAAACAAACAGCATTTTAAAATATTTATCTAGCACCCAATGAACACCAAAAATTGGAACTTGTACAAATTACTGCCCCCCCCCCCCATTCATCCCCCTTTCATGTAAGAACTATAATTTTGTTGTCTGGGCCCCACTAATAAACAACTCCACTTTAAAAAGAACAAAATGCGCATTTTGTTTGACCCCTTCCATATTCCCTTCAAAAAAAGATGTTTTTGTACAATTTAATTCAGCTGTCTACATTATTTATGGGGGGTTATCAGAGGACAAGTTAATTTGGCAGCACTAGTCGAAAGCCCGCCCTCTATTTCTCAATTTATTAAATAGAGGAATATTAGATATTAAATATATATAGAATAGAGGAACATTATTAAAATAGAGGAATATTATTAAAATAGAGGAATAAATAGAAATCGCGGCACTCTGGAAATTTGCGCAGTTATCACGTGATGAAAGAAAAGACCAATTGCACCTGAACGATTTGCATATACATTCCGCACAGTCATGGCTATACCAAATTAATGGAAAGGGGTGAACCATCCATCAATACAAAAATAAGGGAACTCGGTTCACAATAAAAAAAAAATCTAAGCAAACTATTGAAGACAATCTTTTCTTACACATCTCCAACATGTTTTACAAAAATTGTGAGAATTTAAAAAGATGATAAACAAAAATTGTGAATTAGAAAGGAAAAAAAACGACTTTTACCCCCAAGCTCAAAGAAACTGAAAACTAACCCACAAAAACAATGCCGGGTAATCTTCATTGATAAATAAGGCGCGGCACAAATAACTGGTTTGCGTCTCCCAATGCCTTTGAAATCATTGCAATAGTACAGGGACCATGGGATTTGTTCACCAACTAATCTCACGTGGTTCGTTGCGCGTTCGTAAATGGCGGGGCACGTATGGTGGAGGACTTTCGAGAAAACGTCACAACAGTTAAAGTAAGTTTGCCAATTTTGGCCTGAAAAGTGAACCATTTGGCCTTTGAAAGTTAGGTGGAAGTGACTGAACTACTGTAGATTCTTCTGAAGTTGATGCAGTGGAAAACACGGTTCGAAATCCTAAGTTTTTAAAGAAAGAATTCCGGCAGCTATTTTCTGCATTTTCTGAGAATCTGGACATGGGCGTGGTTTCAGATATTGTGCGGGGGGGGGGACACTTTACATGGACGGAGGGCAGGAGGGGCAAAAGGATAAAATAAACATTTTTGTGACAGTTTGTAATGCATGCTGGGCATGGATAAAAACAGGAATTTTAATGCACAAACTTGTCATATATTCAAGTTCAAATTTGGCAGTGTATATTTAGCCGGCGCCGGCCCAGACTGGGACCGTGAGTGCATAAAAACGTGCAAAATTACTACTGACGTTTTTTTACTCACCATTTGGCTAATTAATTCCCACACAACACATACATCAAAATGCTATAGTTGCAAGCATGTCACTTGCGAAATTTGAGACCTTAAATCCAATTTTAAGGCAAGTTTTTGGCAGTTCAAAAACTAGCCCC